GTAATATTACAAAGTTATCGCAATATTTATTAAGATTATATAAGATTTTGTACTGTATAAATTAAAATATAAAAAATTAGAAATAGAAGTTAAATGTAACATACAATGAATACAAATAAAATATGACTTCATAATTAATTATGTCTTTATATTTTATAGATGTGTTCTGATATACACTGCCAGTACTGAAAATCTACAGTATACGTAACATGAATTATAAATTTTCAGTACTGTGCATATCGGAATGCACGCCTATAAATTATAAAGACATAATTAATTATGAAGTCATATTTTATTTGTATTCATTGTATGTTATATTTAACTCCTACTTATAATTTTTTATATTATACATCTTATATCTTATTATTGTGTCCATTGTGCATTATATTTAATTCTTACTTCTAATTGTTTTACGTCTATAAATTATAGATATTGATTACGTTTACACTTTATGTCCGTTTTCACTAATGTAGATTAACTTTAATTTCGATTCAATTTACTCTTCGTCTTTTTCTAATCTTTAGAACTAGAAAAAGACGAAGATAAGTTGAACTGAGATTAAAATTAATACTATATTGGTTGAAATGGACATTAATCGGATTTAATAATATTCATAGTTAGAAATTAACCAGTCATTTCATTTTTCAGAGGAATATAGTTGAGATTCAATTTCATAATACAGATGTTATAAAACCCGATTAAGTGTGCCATGTAAACGTGATCATTAATTCCTATTCTTCCATTATGTCTAGATCCTTACTTTATTGGATTATACACAAATCAATATATATAAGTCTTAATACTCAAAGTAAAGCTTTCTAGCAGAGGCACAAATCGACAAGAGTCATTCTTGTTTTTATTTCTTACTGATTTTTTAACAAGACCAGGATAACTCTTATGTCAATTTGTGTCTCTTGCTGGAAATATTTTTAAAATACTGCTGCAGTAATATTGCTGAAATAATATTGCAAAAAAAAGTCTTCGCAATATTTCTGCAACATTGTATTGCAATATGCAACATTAAAATGTTGCAGCAATGTTGCTACAAGTTTCTATGCTGTACGGGTTCTCATTCTACACAAATATTCCATAGAAAACTTATAAATTTGAAGAAATTTAAGATATAATTCTTTCATAAATCTTCATAAAGATATAAAAAAATTTTTTTAAATATTATTAATAATATTAATATTAATCGATTTATTATATTGTCAACTGTAATATATAATAGTTAAATATTATAAGATATTGTGTGAGAATTCTTTTCATCAGGGATATTCCGACATAAGTATTCCGATTCCGCCGACAGAAAGCTTCTTCGGCGTGCGTGTCTTCTTGTGAACTGCGTTCAAGTCGATCTAATTAAGATAGCACAGTGCACTTATACGAGTAAAAAAAGAAGAAGAAAAGAATCACGGCGGAATGCGTCGCGATCGTGTTTTAACAGTACATGAATTCATCTGAATCTACCGAATCACCTCGCGGTTAGTTGCTTTATAAATTTCGTCAATGTGATAAAATAAGATAAAAAAAAAAAGAAATAAAAAAACTATGCGAACGTAAATTCTCGGAGCAACACACGTTGCGTTTCGTTATGCAGCTGAGTATCTTAAAAACTTTTATTACTCGTAGCGCCATAGTGATTGTTATTTGCTTTATTTTAATAAAAAGCAGTGTATATGTATTCTTTTCTTTTTATATAATATTTGTTAATATCTGATGAGAGCACAATCGATCGTATCATGAAAAACGTGCTATAAAAATACGCAGACAATAAATATGCAATCTGAGGGCGGATGTGTAAAGTATTTTGTATGTGTAAAAAAGCTGACGGGAATTTATATGATCCCCCTGTACAGAACCGACTTTTGCAAATAAAAATGAGACAAAAAAACGACATATATTTTAAACCATTTTACTCTCGCTATTTGTAAAAAACTTTTGAAAGGGAAAGAAGGATATATCGAAGAAGAAGAATACTGGCACTCGCCGGATTTTAAATCCTCGTCTTGATGTACATGATACATCTATAAGAACAGTCATTCAAACTTTATCCGTAAACAGCATAAGTTAGAACGATGAATGTGCAGACAATAATAGCACAGACAGAAGGAGAAAGGAGAAATATTTTGTATACCGCGATCACATCATGTGTTCTTGCGAACAATAGAACTGGATAATTCTTCAATGAGGAGATCGAGCGTTTTCCTTACAAAAGTTCAATTTAATACTGACCAATGCTGAAAATTATCTATTTTCACTAATTAAAAGCACTGGACAACAGTGTTTTTAATATTTGAAAAAAGTAATTAATATTACCTTCCAGTATTAAAACTTTTGTAAAAGTTCGGAAATAAAAGTTCCTATCTACGTTAGGTCTATGTTTTAAAATGTTAAAAAGGAATACGAGAAATAATTAAACATTTTGCATCGTGAGCGATTAATGTTGCAAATTATATCCGGCGATATTTGCACTGTAGTCACTTACAAAGTATTAATCAATCGAATTCCACGATGAGAAAGAACGTAACGCAATAATAATTGCGCGATAATTGTCCAATGTCCAGCTGAAGTCATTAACTGTTAAATACACGAATTAGTTGAGCGGCATATAGTGATCGAGAAATATTTTGACGTAAATCTCACCGAGATGTAATTTTGTAAAATGTGTACAATATATATGAAATGTACGGAAAAACGTTCCATCTGTGGCTTTTCTTTTTACGATGTTACATTATAGTTTCAACATTATGAAGCGTAATATAATTAGATATCGAAAGAGTATATATGTTAAAATCTATAATTGTGAGGTTTACATTTATAAAAAGAGTACATAAGAATATATGCAAAGTTTGTAGCGCATCATCTTGTTTTTATTTGATGCTACTTTATTCATTTCTAGAACTTCCAATTATGTATTGCCATATAGGATCGTGACATTATAAGCAAGAAATGACACGTTGAAGTTTCTTGCATTTGTAAATAAAGAGAATTTGAATAAAATAAAATAATAGAGATAATAATAGATAGAAATGGCCCAACAAATGAGAATGAATTAAAATGGATTGAAATCTTTTTCTATCTGAATGCTTTTTCTATCTGTATTTTAAATAGCGAATACTTTTTTTTTATTTAATTAGATTCAATTGAATTCAATTAGATTTAATTGGATACAATTAGATTGAAAAACTGCATTTCCTATTCAAAATTTTGAATTGAATAGTATTCACAATGTGTATGTTTTGCAGAAAAAGCTAATATTATTTTTAGATTGAATGGCATAGAGATAAACTTCATGCAATTCCTATAAATGAATAAAAATGTATTCAGGATTGAAAAGCATTCGTTTTAACATTCGTGAATCAATATTTCTGAAAATCTGAATCCATTTCAATTTATTTCAATCCATTCTCGTTTGTTGGGGGGTCCACGGCTTCACCCCTAAGTAAATAGTCGTAAAAGGCACGTGAAGCGTTTATCGGCGTTTACTCAACGTGCATGCGTAGTCTATTTTTACTTCATGTGCCTTTTACTATCATGTGCCAACTATTTACTGTCTGTAAATTTAATTTGAAATTTGCTTCTGAAAATCTGAATAAATTTCAATCCATTCTCTTTTATTATATAGATATTCAGTCTGTTCACAAAGTTTGCAAATGAGCTAACAACTAACATACTATCTCGGAAGAAATAGCGTTGATAGTGCAGTTATGACGCAAAACATTACCATTAATGACGCCATGATTGTGTTTATTGTTAACGCTATCTGCAGCTCCACGAACAGCTTTTAATATAGCGCTAATGGATGCTTTTCATTTAGTGACACAAATCGATACAAGCATATCTATTTTTTTCTTTAGTGAGTAATAAAAATAAAACAATATATCTATTTCTTTCTCTTAGTGAGTAATAAAAATAAAACAATACTTGTGTCATCAAATGAAAAGCATCTCCCCGAACACTAAAAAACATAAGCTTCGATAATCTATATATTGTTTACATGGATGATACATAAAACATAGTTGATATTATATATATATAGATTAATTTATTATTATATATTATACGGGTAAACACACAACTCTGAATTGTATATTTTTATAATTACCGATAGTCGATAAGATAGTCAACAATTATATCAATTGATATTATTATTATTATATTAAAAAATACATACTTTTTGCAAGGAATATTTTTTCGACAATTTGTCACAAATTTCAGAAGATGTGCATTCTAATAACTTATTTGCTACAACTTTTATTATTTTAGAAAGAAAAAGATAAACGTATATGTATAAATTACACATCAGAGAAATATGTTAATACTTTTTAAAAGCAAAGTTGTAGACCAAGCATCAGATTTCTCTCTGGTCGATGTGTTATATTTATCCATATAGTCCTACACACAATGAAGAAAATATTAGGAATAGGAATAAATATTAAGAGTTCTGTTCCTAATATTCAATATATTGTGCGCAAGCCCTAAAACAAGCGATCTCGTCAGAATTAGATTTCACTTTAGAATTCAAAATGTCTAATAATAATTATGTACACATATTCATAAACTTTTTATATGCACACATAAATGTAATTCTTACTTTTTTCAATACTTTAAGGGATAAATGCATCTTTCGGTAATGCATAAACTCAATTGCAGTATAAAAATAAATATATTTATCTAATTATTATTTGTTTTATAACCATACAATATCATTAATAAGTTGTTAATTTATTATTGTTCTTTGAAATATGTCTATGCTATAAGGTTGAATCAGTAAATAAATAGGTGCAACGTATCTCATCTTTTTAATACTATAAAATATATAAAATATAAATAAGCGATAATGTAACGGGATATAAAAATATTAATTAAAATGTCGCGATGCATGTCAAATTCTCCGCACTGAGATTTTCTCATTTGACTTAATGCTTTAATAAATTTGATAAGAATTTATGTCGTAGATATAATTTTATTAGCTAGATGAATCCATTTAGTTTAAAAAGAAATCCTAAGTCGAGGTCAATGAGTGTATATTACATATTTATACACAAGAAGATATAATACAGTATATAAAAAGTGCGCAGTATGTAGGCAGTAAAGTATGTATGCACAACAGTACTGGCCTGCAACAAGATACCATTAAAGACCAACCTGTAAAAATTTTGGTGACATTTGAATAATTAGCTTACTAATTTATTATTTTTCATTCTACGCATTCTAGATGCATATCGTAGATGTGTGTGTACACATATTTGTGTGTATGACGCAATAAGAATTCGATTTTAAACTGCACTTGCTATTCGATTATCCAAACAGAAAAAAACTAATAACTAATAAGGTAAAAAATTAATTTTGCACGAATATTATGTCATAAATATAGATGTGCTTACTTATGAAAAATAATAAATCATAAATTAAATACGTATAAGTTAATTATTCAAATATTAATATCAGATGGACAAATTAATAATGCTTATATTCTGTCTAATTATTCGCGGAACTACTCAATCCCAAAATAATTTGATCAAATTGTCTTTAACAGTATTTCCTCGATAATATCATTTATTATCGAAAAACGAGTTGTAAGTTGTAATTAGTATACAACAATCGTGATAATGTTTGTTCCTAAAAAAGTGTGAGCACAGTTTCACTGTAATTTCGCTTCTTCCTTCACTTTCCAACGAATTAATTCCATGCAAGCGATGGCATCTTCTTTACTGTCATGACCACCAACTGGAATATAAATCATTATTAAATATTATTTTAATTATTATGTGTCATTTATAGACACTTAATCTTTTACCCTTCTCATACAAAAAATTATAAACTCACCATCATTTTGTATGATTTTTCTAAGATATTCGGAACAGAGATTTTTCAATGCCCTTTTTTGCGGATATCCATTTCTATGCGGGAACATGATGCTGGTATCCACGACGGTATCGTGTAATAATTTTAAAGCTTTGAAATCACTTTCAAGACTGTGACCTACCAAGATTGTTTTATCCGAGAACATCGTGAGAAGCGTAGCTTGTACATCTAAAATATTCGTCGTCACATCCTTCATATCTTCTTCCGTAATTCCTGAAAACCTATTATAGCAAATTATTATCGTATACATAAATCAATAATTTGTCGACTTATATTCTAATATGTCCAATAAGTTGGGTCTCTTATAATTTTTACAATTTACCTCGTATTGTAATCAATTATTGGATTTTGCGGTTTGACTAACGTTTCGTATATTACTTTACAATCTTCGTCAACAATCGTCACTCTGGTTAGTTCTAAGCCTTGTGTGGTATAGCACATTTCACAATCGAGTGCGTAAACACCTTGCTCACCTATAGGAACATCTTTGCACACGGAAAAAGAAATTAATATATTTGAATACATGTATGGGAAAAGTGCAAGAGAATCTGAAAGTACCTTACCTTTCGATAAAGTCGTAACATAACCACGAAGATTCTCATAATCTGTATAATCCCACACGTGCGTCTTTGCGTCGCAACAACCAAGAGCAGAACCATATTGCTGACAACAACTATATTTACCTTCGCCTCTAACTGAAAACTTTCTGCCCCAATGATATATACAATTTTGTTGTCGTACAGCAAAGCCTTGTTTATTTATCATATACACTTGGCCACACCGGCTACATATTCTCTCATTAGGCACTTTTGACAAAACGGTTTGGTTCCGCGAATTTGTTACATACATCTTCGCTCGTCCCTACAAAATATAAAAACGTACTTTATTAATAAATGTTTGATAAATGTTTCGTGTAAACAGAATATTTCAACATTTTATATTTATTATTACTTTATATCTATTATCGTTTATTTTATTTCCTTCATCTGTAATAATTTGAACAAATGTATATAATAATAATTTCTTCAATTATATATTTTATCTGTATTGTTTTCTAACCTTTGTATCATCTGGGTGTTTACGCGGAAATCCGTTATCTCTAAGCTGCTGTTCCGACATAATCCATTTCTTAAGCATGTTATAGAGTGCTGGTCCTTTAAAATCTATCATACTCTTCTTGCTTTTAACTACACTCCAAGAACCTTTTGACTTGCCAACAAGAACAGCTTCGTGAGACATCATACCGCTTAAATTAACGAATTTTTCGTTCGACTGGTTTTGATCTACTTCCTTTCTTAATCTATGAGCCGCCAACATGCATGAATTTTTATATACCGCGAGTGCCTTGCATCTCTCGTGACACGCGAATTCTTCTCTAACGGCTCGTTGCGCTGCATCATCCCCATTCGTATAAATTTGCACGCATATATCGTGCATTACATTAATATAATACTGACGAACATTTAAGGGGAATTTTTGAGTAGCGACTTGCAGCGGTTCTGGACGCATGAGTTGAGGCACCTGCGTAAATAGAATTTTACGACAAACTTTTACAACTTTTACAAACGTATTAATTGGCTGCAGAACAGACAGAATCTCTTTGTTCTGCAGTCAACAAATAGGCTTGAAAAGCTTATCGTATGACAAAAAACAGATGAATATAGGCCAGTATTCATAGTCGGATCTTATATTTAAGACAGTATTAAGTACAGTCTTAAGATGTCATGAACCAACCAGAAGACCGCAGTGATTTAAGATATTACTTAAGACGGTCTTAAAAACCGACTATGATTATCAATCATAATATTAATCTAATTATTTAGTTTAGTATTATGATTATCAATCATAATATTAATCTAATTATTAGTTCATGACATCTTTAGATTCTATTTAACCCGGGAGTAGGCGCGTCTCAAAATTAACGTTAGTAGACGCGTCCCGGTCATTTTGACTGAAATATATTTTCGCACATAGTTATATGTGTTATAACTAGAATACATGTATTATATGATGATTATATGATTATAATTATTATAAGTAATTAATAAGAAAATGAGATTACAAATACTAATTACACTTACGTAAGTGAGTTTATACGTACTATTGCATACCGAGACGGGCGTGTTCCGTTTGAATGTTGCATCATCCCTAATTTTTGTCAAGCTGTCTTTTTCGTGATTGTTTCCTTTTTTTGATTTATTAAGTGTGGGAAAAAGTTCGTAGCATTTTTCCCGTTAGATGGCATTAAAAAAACGCCACGAACTTTTTCCTAATATTATCTGCATTTTCGAACTAGTTTATGGCTAGGTCGCGGCCGAACTGGGTATGAGAGCCAATAAAAGAAACAAAAGAAGACTAACATAAGCGCGCGCTATGGTCTTTTACATCGACCATTACAAATATATCAAATTTTAAATAGATATAAGCATGTTTATGTCATCTATTTTCGTATACTATACAAAAAAACATTAACAAACATTTACGTAAAGGTAAAAATATAATAGTATCAATAAATTGAAAAATATAAATAGAAAACGGAAGAATGCGGCAAAATGATCGGTATGCGATCACTCTCGGTTAAGTTAAGGTTCTCGGTTAAGTTAAGATTCTTAAATATAAGAATCGACTATGAATATTACTATCCTAATGTTCATTTCTATTAATGTAAATTAACTTTAATCTCTATTTAAGGAGATGCTGGAGTGACGAATTTAGATGTCGATACAAACTTTTTTAATTCTAAAAAAATGTCGACAATAGTAGTATTTTTAATTCATTTCGTACATTACATCGCTTTGTTGCACTCAAATGCATACATCTGTCCTTACCTAACATATTATAAAGCCATTTCATCCAAGATTTGGGCCGATATTTATAAACCTTATTTTAAGATATATAATATCTTAAATAATGTCTTAAGATGCTAATAAAAAAGTTCTTTGATTGGATTTATGACATCTTAAGACTGTACTTAAGACAATCTTAAATATAAAATTCGACATAAATACATATACTGCTAGACACAATTATTGCTATTTATCATTCTGAATCTTTGCTAAGCATACATATACGTAAATTGTAAATTAGTATAAATCCTTTTTTTTAAGCTTTCTTAATTTCCATAAACTCAATTCGTTCAATTAATTCGACAAATAATGCAATGTTGATGCAGCATTTTGTCCATATAAGTTATAAAACTTTTGTATTAAAGAAACATCTATGATAACAGCTCTATCAGTTGAAAAATGTAAAACCTGTTCTAACGTGCTTTTTGTTTTCTGTTTCTTGCTTCTTGCTTTTTTTTACATCATGTCTTTTTTATTATTCCGTTTTCTGTCTTCTGTCGCTCGAGATAAAAATCAATGAACTTCGGAAGAAACAAGAAAAACGTGACAAGAAATACAATTGTCAATAACAATAAAAATTACAAAGAGGAAAAAAAGCAAGATATAAAAAACAAGAAAACAAAAAGCGCAGAATAGATTTTGTAGAATAGATTTAAGTTACACTGCCTCACTTCTTAATTTTATGTCTATTTTAATCCTGTAGAAAAATTTTTTATTCCGTTCAATCAATTCAGAAATTTTTGTACGGCTTTATCAATAATGTCGTCACTCTAGTATCCACTTAAGTTACTTTATATTTAGTTTAACTTATTTTTTACTTTGTTCTAGTTCTAAAAATAAGAAAAAGATGAAAGAATAAAGATTAAAGTTAATTTACATTGGTATAATTCTAAGTTGTATCACAATTAATAAGTTTTACAATTAAACTTACCACTTGCGGTATATGAGCAACGCGTACACCGCCCTTCGTAGTTTGCGCTATTGTTTTGTTGTCTACTACTTTAGTATCCGCGCAGAGCACCTTCGCTGCTGTCATTACGACCTTTTTTTTTTCCATCGCAAGAGATTTCGCATATGGAACATGAGCGATTCGAACGCGACCTGTAATACATATAACGTTAGCACTAAGTGATTTATTATTCGTAATTTGCGATTCCATAAAATTAACAAATAGTATGGACAGATTTGTCAAATTCGTCATTTTTACTTATAGTAATTTGTCGAGTGCTGAATAATTCACGAATAATAAAGTTGTCTATCTCTAAAACAAAAGACTTTGTTTGATTCTCATTTCGGCAATTTTAAATCGCATTAACAATTGCGTGATTGTGATTAGCGATTGGCGATTACTTTTTAATTCGATTAGAACAAAGCAGTCGATTGCTTTGCTCTAACAGCTCTAAGTGGTTGAAAAATAATCATCAATCACAATCGTTAGTATAATAACGGTTTGAAGTTATTAAACTATCGAAACATAATGGACCAATAACATTGAGGTTGATTTATTGTGATTGGTTGATTATGAATCGGTAGTCGGATCAGCCTATAGAATCGATAGTCTAATACGAGCTTCATTATTATGTATACATATATATGGATGAATCTTAATGGATGTTTTCCGATGGAGGATGAATATTTTTTTACTCTAGATTGCAATCAGTTCATTTCCCATGATAAAATGTTGGAATATCCAAGATTCATCCTGTATACATATGGAAAAATTATATTATAAAATATATTATATCATTATAATAAAATTACTAGATGTAAAATCATTAAATACAAACATTTAATATTTGAAAAATCACTTTTTTGCTTCAATTCTGGTATTTAATCTCAATTGGAGCAGCAGCAGCAATAAGCAGCTCTTGTTTGTAATCATTATATCAAGATTTTTAAATTTAATATAATCTGACTTTTAGATTCAACATAAAATATTCTGATCCTAAATTTTTTAAAAGAATTGTTCATGCAGATTTATTTTTTATAAAATTAAAAAGTGCGAAATCAAATCACTACGACTAAATCCATTCATGACAACTATATAAAATTACATTGAAATAATGCATGTAAGAGTGATTAACTCGTAATTGGCATATCGAATTCGATCCTGTATTAGTTTTGTAATTATTAAGGTAACTAGAAAAATTGAAGATCAATGAATGAAGATAAGAGTAAAAGAATTATGAGGTCAAATAATAATCTAGAAATTCAACTCTAATCATAGAACTATATTATAGAACTATATTACGAACGACAAATGACGAATCACAAAATCTGACACCAGTTTAATTAGAGATTTAACCAAATAACACAATAATTTTGCATATATCCAACTTGCCATTCGTATTCGGTAGCATGTCATTATTACTTATCGATGAGTTAGATTCAACATGTTCTTTATGCACTGAAACACGTTGTGTGGTACTACTTGAAGATCGATCTATTAACGTAGATATTGTTTGAGTCTTCATGTCAGTTGCCGCTTTCTCTGTCGCCTTTTCTGCGGCCTTTTCAGCCGCTGCTTTTTTCATCAAATGCCATCGCTCACACATTTTCTGATACGGATTTGTATGTTTTTTTGGTAATTGACTAGGACCTATCTGCCGAGTGACACTTGTGGCCGCTGAAGGATGAGCAACTCTTTTCTTACGTTCTTCTGTAATTTCTTCCATATTCTCAGTGTCATCTTTCACAGATTTTTTAACTGATACTAGTTTTGGATAGTCTGAAGCTTGATATTCCTGAGAAATGAATAAATATATACAATATAACCGATATACATTACATAAGTACTAAAATTATTACTTTTATTAATAAATTTTTATTTTTCATTAGATAAATTAAGGAAATTTTAAGTATCTCTAATTAAAATTTATATTAAAAATGCAAGAATTTTAATTAAAATACAAGAATGAAGTAACATTACATATATCGGCAAAAAATAAACTATTTTTATAATTAATAAAAT